GGGGGGCCCCCGCCCTCCCCTTATTTTTTTTTTTTCCCCCCCCCCCCCCCCCCCCCCCCCCCCCCCCTCCCGATGTACGCTCTGACACATCACCGCAACCCAACTGATAAATCACACACGTTTCTCAAAAGAACAAAAACGTCCCGATAACCCGAATGATACCAACACACACTTGTGCAACAACAAACAACTCGGCAGGCGCATCTTCTGGTCAAGCAAGAACCCCCTCCAGCGCACCCTCTACGTGTGCGAGATTCTGGACGGGTCCAAGCTCACCGACCACCCCCTGCGGCACGACGAGGTTGTCCTCGGAGCCGGTAAAAAGAGGAAGCGACCAAGCGACAGCGGCGGGGCGCCAGCAGCAGCAGCAGCGGCGGCGGCGGCGGCGGCGGCGGCGACTACGGAGGAAGCAGCAGCAAAGCGGGGCAAGGAAGAGGGAGGCACCTCCCCCTCGTCTTCTCCCCGTACTACTCCGCCGTCTGGGGGCGGCGGGACCGGGGGCAGCGGCAAGGGCAAGGGCAAGGAGCGACGACGAAACGGCGATGCTGACGATGACGACGCCATGGACGACCAAGATGGGGTCGATTCTGAAGCCGGCGGTGCCCCTCCTCCAAGAGATTCTGATCCGATGGAGGTTGACGGCAACGCCCGAGATAGAGGCGATGGGGACAAAACAGCCCCCGCTGGCGGCGGCAGTACAAAGTGGGATGGCGGGGACGATGATGGCGGCGGCGGCGGAGGGGGAGGCGGTTCTTACCGAGGGGTTGTGTTCAGGGTGACCATGATGGACGATCCGGGCACGGCGATGATCGACTCCAGCCTCGACAGGCTGTACACGAGAGTGGTGGCTGCCGTTGACGAGTGAGGGCTTGTGGTTTGTTTTTACGTTTTTTCAGAGGCGTTTCTCTTGTGATCGGGAGGACGGGGGCGTGTCGTGCGCTGGCTTCTCATGTTTCGAGTCCGACCCTTGGCGTTGTGCGTCGAACGTGAACTTACGTGGGTTGCGCCGGGCGCTGTGTAGTAGCTCCCCGCGTTGTGGCCCTGCTGTATCCTGTCTTGTTTTTTCCGAACCTTGATCTCGAAAAAGATAACACCCAACTACTTGTAGCGTGTGTTGCGGCTGATAATTCGCCACAGGAGAGAGAGCCAATCAAGAGGCATCGCGCAACCCTCTGAAACTCTTTTCAGGCCTCCTCTGCAGTCCCCCGTCCTTTTTCTCCGTCGCGCACAGCTCCCTCAACCCATGAAACTCTCTTTCATGTCTACCCTGCTGTCCCCCTCGTCACATGTATGATATCCCGCGCGCCCTACCGCGGTAGGTGCTTGCAGCCTTTGAGGAAGATGGACCCCTGCTTCCGGCGGCGCCGCACGGGCCACGCGTCCTTCGGCCTCAACGGACCCCAGTTCTTCGGTATCGGGTACGACGCGGTCCGCTCCGCCATGGAGGCGTGGCCGGACGCCGTGAGCGCAGCTGTCACCCCGGAGGATGACCCGGAGAGGTATGAAGATGCTCGTATGTCATACATCTGTTGAAGAAGGATGGGTATTGATCATCATGCAACAGTACGAAGGTATTGATCATCATGCAACAGTACGAATTTCAGAGTTAGAGCGTTCTACTCAGTATGGCATGGACGGACGTGTTTTTGTTGGAAGCACTGTCGACGCGATGAAACACGAATAATAACGTACCACACATTTGCCGGGAATGCATTCTGGCGATACACGCAGTAAACGCCAAAACAAGAACAGTACCACCATTTTATCGCCAATTTATCGCTCGAAAATACGAAAATACCCGGTGACAGGCTTGGATGCGTTCTATTATGGTGTAGTCTGCAGGGGGCGATTGTGTTTTACTGTATCGTACTGTCGTATTGATACTTAGTTTTTATTCTGTCGTTTTGGGGTGGCTTGTGCTGGGCGGTGGTTGAGGTGTCGTAGAAATGTCGACGTTTATTCAACGTAAACATGTAGGCAACGCGAGTGAGAACAAGGTTGACGTCACGCGTGCACAGTAACAAATGGTATGCCAGAGAGGGTACGCGGTAACCATCCCCCCCCCACTTGTTTCTTTGCGGTTGGCTTGGGTTTCCTTTTGCGGTTGTCTCGTGTCCGTTCCGTTCAGGCAATACCGCTTCGTGATGAACCTTCCCAGCGAGGAGACTGTGGTGGCCTGGCAGCGACGACAGGCGGCGGAGAAGGCCGGGGTCAAGGTACGCATCTACGGCACGGTTCTCCGGCATTTCTTTCGAGTGGTGTGGCGGGTTTTGCTCACGGTATTTTCGTCTTTTCATGCGTATGTATGAGGTGCGACGGTTTCCACCTCCAGCCGTGTACGCACATGTTTACCATGGGTATGGTGCTTGAATGGTCTTTGTAGCAGGTCACCTTAACCTACAGTGGCGAAGCAGCGAGATTGCGCTGGGTTTCGCGGGACTTTTCTTTTTTCTGATCACATACATAGCACTATCGACAGCTGTGCTACATGCCTCAGTACTCTCCCCTTTTCTCCCACGCCATACTCCACTCCTTCGCGCGCCCTGGCTCTCTTCCACCTTCCTTGCTCTACTACTTCCCCTGCACGTGCTACAACGACCCACACCGTCTGTTGTCCCCCCCCCCCCCCCTGGTGCGTGTCACGCCTCTACCCCGGACAGGAAAACCCTAACGGCTGTGCGCGTGCGGAGGTGCTGTCGGAGTCATCGTCCACGGCTAGGACGGGGCGGATCACGAGGACGCTCGTCAGGGCGGCGGAGAAGCTGGGCGCGGCGGACGGGGGCGACGCAGGCGGCAGCGGGAGCCTGAGGGGGGGGCTGGGCGGCGGCGGCTCGCAGCAGTCCCAACAGGTTGGTGATTCGGGGGGATATATTTTTGCTGGATAATGTATGTATGGTCACAGAAAAGACGTTTCGAGATGTAACCGTGGTCGAAGGAGATGCGTTGAAGTCTTTAACAATTTTTTTTTTTTTTCTTCACTTCAAATCAGCGCTCACAGCATTATTATAGTGCCGTTTACTCCAAACCCGTGGTCACACAGAAGGGCCCCTCTCTACCCTCCCCTCCTGCGGTACGTTGCCTTCGATTTTTGTTGCGAGAAGAGTTCAGCACTCTCTTCCCTCTGTGTACACACGAACTAGCTTTGCCGTGAGTGGGAGAAGGTTCCTGGGATTTTATTTTTTTGTTGTTGCACGATGCGCGCGGAGGAAGTGGGTGTTTTGTGCTTGGACTTTTGTAGGAAAAAAAACGACAACGGGGGCATTATGTTCGTATTTCTTGTTCTGTTCTTGCCGCGAAATTTCTTTCTCTGTCGTTGATCTGAACTCGTTTGCTGTGTCGTGCGCGGCGTTGTTGCGGTCTCTCGTGGCCTGGCAGGCCCAGTACCGCATGCTCAAGACTCAGCCTACCGGTTACGGGCTCAAGGTTCGACGGTCTCACATCCACGGGTGGGGGTTGTTTGCGCTGGAGGAGTTCCCGAAAGGTATGAGGCGTTCGCGCGTTGGTGTTGTTGCTGGCGGCGATTGAATCGGCGGGCTGGTGGTGGTGGCGATAGCAGTGTTGGTAGCGGTGCTGTTGCTGTTGTCGTTGTTGTTGGTGGTGGTGTTGTGGGTGGTGGTGGTGCTGGTGGTGGTGGCGGTGCTGGTTGGGATAGTAGATGTGGCTGGGTTCTGACAACCCTTCAGCATTTTCACCCGTCTTTCTACTACAAGTACAAGGTTTTGCCGATCTCTCCTTTTTAACCTCTCTGTGGGCATTTTGTCCCTCGTGTCCCCATCAGACGTACCACGAATCCAATCCATGTCTTGTCCACGAACACACCCCAACTCCACCCAGGTGACGTTCACGGCTACATCACCTAAGCAAATAGCCTGAATCTGACATTGTGTTTTTTTGCAGCCGCTCTCAGTTGGCGTTCACCACGACCCTCCCCCATGGCCCAGCCCTAACTTTAAGTGTGTTGTTTTTGCGAACGCTCTCATCAGTGGACGCTCGTGTTCACCTCCTCTCTCCCCCATGTTGTGTTGACCCAAACCCGACTTTGTTTTGTTTTGTTGGTGCGTAGACGCCATGCTTGTGGAGTACATGGGCGAGGTGGTGCGGCAGTGTGTGGCAGACCTCCGAGAGGTGAAGTACGAGGAGATGGGTGTGGGCAGCTGCTACCTTTTCCGCGCGGACGCTGATGCCATCGTGGACGCTACTCGGAAGGGTAACCTGGCGCGGTTCATCAACCACTGCTGCGACGTGAGTCTTGTTGTTTTGTGTCCCTCTCGGGGACGGAAGGGTCCGGTAGCTTGGGGGAATGCTCTCTGGTTTTGGTGTGTGGTATGCAGGGAGGTACCGATGGTTTTTAAACATGTTGCACACCAAAGTAGACGAAGAGTGTCCAACTATGTTGGATGCCTCATATGTGACACACCGGCTGATATCGTTGAGTAGGTGCCGAATGAGGTTGAACGAGACTTGCGCCCGGAATTGATGATGGGACGAAAACGGCACACCTGGCACGGGACAGGTCTAGTGTTCTCTCCCCGCCTAAACAGAGAACTGTAGTAATAGTGGACAACAACACCAATGGAAAAGTAAACATTACCCCGGACGCTGTTGGGGTACCTACCTACCCCAGATGTTCCGCATGGAGTGACCTTCTGACAGGCCCAACAGTTCGCAAAGGGGGTGGGGTTATTTCAACTTTAAGAAGTACAAGAAAACTCTTTGCTGTTGTCCTGTGTCGTGCGTGTGTTTATTATTTCAGTAGCATTGAACGCGCTACGTTTAACTCCACTGACCTAAGCGATTTGATATACTTGTAACTGCAAACTACAAATGCGGACGGGACGGGCGTGTGTGTTTTTTTTTTTAATTTTTTACTTTTTTTGGCAGCCGAACGCCATCGCTCGAATCGTCAACCTGGAAGGCACGAAGAAGAAAAAAATCATCATCGTGGCCAAGAGACAGATCAAGCCAGGAGAGGAGGTGCGCCGACAGAGTGTGTGTGGGGGGGTACATTAGATGGGCGCAGGGGGGGGGGGGTTGCATGCGGTTTTAGTTTGGGCCGTTGCTCGTTGTTTTTGTTGGTGTAATCTTTGGGCGTCTTCGGCTTGGTGTGACACGCGTGGCGTGTCTGCTTGCCCGCCGCGTCAGCTGGTATTATCTACCCCAGCATTCCATATTATTGTTCGTAGATGTGCCTTTGTATAAGGCGGGTTTCGTCAGGGGGCCCGTGAGGTGGGCTGGTGTATGTGCATGTATCCCGGCATGGGAAGGGTATGGGTGATCGGTCCAGTCAGGAACACACGACAACAGGATGAGTTGGTCAAAGTTGGATGAAAACAATACCATCGTCAACTAGGAACAACTTGCGGACCGAGTGGTTCGCAGGTACCCCATTTCTATCTATACTCGCTGTCTTGAAATTTTCTCCTTTCATGAACATCTCCCCCTCCTTTTTTTTTTGCCTTTTTTTTTTTGTTTCTTTGGCAGATTACGTACGATTACAAGTTCGAGAGAGAGGACGGTCAGCTCTCGTGCCACTGCGGCGCGGACGTCTGCTACGGCTCGATGAATTAGCACTTAGCACCAACAACCTAGGGGGGAAGCGTATAGATCGAACACGCGCGTGGAGGTTTGTCGTAGCTCAGTATTTAGGCCATTTTGGTTCGGGAGAAGCTTTAGCAGTTCCGTCACTATCCGCGGTGCCCCGCAGAAGAGCTGCTGGGCAAGCGGAAACATGGGGGGGCGGGGGGGCGGGGGTCGTATTAACGATTTTTGATACCAAGTACCACCTCAGAAAACCGGCCGGTGTTGTTCTGTGCCCTCTCTCTCTGTTTTGATGTGGAGAGGGCCCTCCCCTATCTTTTTCTGCGTTGGAGAGGCGCCTTCCTTTGTTGGACGGCAACGAACAACGTGGTCGGCGGTCGAGTGTTTTGGCGGGCACGTCATCATCTCGGTCGACGTGCGTACGAGATACCGTATTAATAGAGCATGCCAACGAGGATATCGAGTAGGAGGGCAGTACGCCGTGACCCGCTGTGGCACGCTTTTTGTTTGTCTGGTTAGTGCGCCGTCCTCGGTGTCGGGGGTGACGTTATATGCATAGGGGGGGGGGGTGATACGACGTGCGGTCGGGGGGGTGACGTTGCCGTCGTTGGGGAGGAAGCAAGGTGCCTATCGGAAAGCACTGGGACTATTGTCGATTGTCCTCTTGTATTGTGTAGTCTTTGTTTTGTCCTGAAGCCTTTTCGGGGCGCGGGGGGTTCGGTGGACCAATGTTGCCCCCTCCTCCCATGTTGATATGTCTGGTGTTGTTTGTTCGTTGCGGGACCCCCCTCGGCCCCAGCACCTAGATAGGTATTAATAGCGCGTGTCCTTCCCGTGGGCATCGGGTTGTACTGTACACTGTGCTGGAAGAGCGGGTTTGGTAGGCGGTGGATGGTGGGATTTTCCACGGTATGTACCTCTGTTGGGGGGACCGGGCTGTCTGTTTGTATGTCTGTCTCGGCTAGTTGCTAGTCTGTACTTGTTTTTCTTTAAATCGCCAGCAGCGAGCGGCGCCTCATTGTTTGGTGCTCTCTCTCTCTCTCTCTCTCTCTCTCTCTCTCTCTCTCTCTCTCTCTCTCTCTCTTTTCTCGCTCTCTGCCCACGCTGGAGCTAAGGGTCATTTGTTGGTGGTTTGGTGCTCTCTCTACCTCTGCCAATGGTTGTACGGAGAAGGGATGGCGAGGTCTTACGCCCCGTGGCTTGGGGTTGTCGAGATTGATTTCGTGCAACATATTGCTGCGTTGCTGTCGGTTGTATCCAGGCTTTTTTCGGAGGTAGGTGCGTACGACGGACTGGTTGCTTATTGGGTCCGTGTACGAAGCAGACCTGTCGTAGCGCACTCAGCCTGACGTTGACTTCGCTGTAACTGGTGTCGATACTGGGGTGTCATCATCCAGTATCTAGTCATGCAAACAAAGTTTTTTTTGCCAATTTACGACAAATTACTGAGGGATAATAAAAAGGGTTTAAATTCGATTTGGCTAGGGGGTGGTTTTTGCGTGCTTGGGGTACGAAGGGGTGGGTGGACGGGTGCACCAAACTCCGCGTGCTTCTCTGGCAACACGGCAGGAAGAGAGCTTCGGCCGGCTCCTGCTACCAAAGGGCTACCGCTTGGCGGTTTATTCATGTTCCCGAAGGCAAAGATAAACGCCGGTCTTTGCGCCTTGGGTGTTTTTTCCCACAGCTTGTATTGGCCGTTATCTTCATTCTCGTGCTGGGGGGTAAATCGTGCGTTGCTATGTTAACAAGCCTGCGTGTGTGCGCGTTAGCGACGAAGAGAATCCAATTCCATCGTCGGGAGGTGCCTTTTCCTCATTTTTTGTTTATTTAAGGACCGAAGCACCTGCACATGACTCGTGGATGTTTTACTCCTCCTCCAACCGCGCTGGTTGTGTGGAATAGATGCGTTTTTGTTGAAACAGGCTAAAACCTTTTTTAGTGTGGGTGGGTGGGTGGGTACTTGGGGTTGGCGTGGTAGGCTAGGTAGCTGCGGGAGAGGGGGAGAGAGAGAGCCCGGGCTGGGCGCCGCGTAAAACTGTAACGCTAAAATAAATTCCGGGAAATGAACATGATGGCGGTTGTAGTCTCGCCGAAATAATTTTCTGTTTGGGATGGAGCCCTACCCTTGTGCCGAAGCGGCGGGAGGTGGTCCTTGTCCGGCGTGTCACCCGTATGTATCAAATCAACACTTTCTCCGCCTTACGCAATGTTTCTGATGATGTACGCTTCCAGACTAGATGCGATTGAGATCGCTACCACTGCAGCAGCATACTGGTACACCATGACACACTAAGGTACACACCATTCCCCTCGGAGGCATATGCAACGTGAAATCCACGCCGAAAAAGAAAAAAAAAAACGCAAACCTCCGCACGGACACGACATAAGGTGGGGCGTGTATAGTCTAATGTGTCCTGCTCTCTTCTTCGCCTTCCATTTCCCCTCCGCAGTCAACTAAACTCACTCCCTGAAATTCCGAACACGCGTGCGTGTCGCCTGCGGCGCGATTGTTCCGGGATTTGCCCGGAAGCCGCGAGAACTTTCCGAGGTTCCTATTGTTCCGACATGGGAGAGCACCACATTCGACTTAGTCCAAACACGTGTGCGTGTCGTCTAACACGCCCCCTACGCCATCAAAGCGACACATGTTTTCCTGAAAAAAAATTGTTTCTACAACAATACCGCGCAACATCGCGCACATATCCTCCAAAAAACACCGCCGTTTGTCATTGCTACTTGCAGACATGCGTGCGGAGAACGCCAAACGCCAACATGTTCCGCCCCCTCAACAAAGACACCCTGGCACAAATGCGTCGTCACATGAAATGTCGTTACAAAAAAGCACGTGCCGAGACACGCAATGGGATAGCTCGAACAGGGGTCGGTCAAGTAGTATTCGTGTGCGAGCCCACAGCAGTAGCTCTTGACACTCCCTCCCGTGGACACACTACGCATGCACAGGGTGAAACCCGCGTATAGTATATCATCGGATGCATGTTCATTGGAAATCTGGCAGCAATATAAACACCATCGAACCGTCGGCGATACTGCTGTTCGACAGACACAACGTGATAGGTGGGCCTACAGCACGAAGGGCATCGCCCAACTACAGCCTAAGCAACTGGTGTTGGTAAACAATATACAGGAGGCGTTTCTAAGAAGGGGGGCACCGCAACAGCGGTTTCACATGGGTGGGCAACAAAGTCCATGCGCGTCTAGCTGAAGTCGACAAAAAAGGGTACAAGTAATGGAAAAAGGGGGAATAAAATCACGCCTGCATGTGGAAATCATTCCCGCCAAAAACGAGCAAAATAAAGGTGACTACGTCATGCCCTCGCTGGGTCCAACCCCCTCCAGACTTTTCCACAACGGCGACTACCACGTCAATACACTGACTGACTTTCATTGCCAGACAAGTCCCACACACCATTGCGGGTCTTAGCCAGCTCCAACCCCGACTCCGACTGGCTTCACAAAGCAATCCGCGTCAGCCCGTCATCGTCATCTCGACCTTTCGAGGCCTGAAACCCCCACACCTCTACCGAAACCACATCAAAAACTCCCCCAGAGGACGAACTCTCAGCAGCGCCACGCCCGCTCGGCGCCGCCAGGTCAGGGTTACCGAACGTGCCGCACGGGCCGGTGCTTCCGCTCCCTAGGTCCGCGTTCAAGAGGAAGCCGAAGTTGCCCCCGTCTCCCCCGCCGCCCATGCCCAACCCGACCGCAGCGTCGGACGTCATGAAGCACCGGTCCGACCCCACCCACGGGTACACGCGCAATGCCGCTCCCCCACCAGCGGCCCCGGGGGTTTCTATCCCGATAGGCGTTTCGCCCCCCGCCAAGGCGTCGTCCCTGTCGAAGGCGAACAGAAAACACCCGCCGTCTCCGGCGAAGGCTCGGCCCATGTCCTTCCAGGGAGACCCGGACGCGAAGCCGCCGAACACGACAGTCCCCTCCACCGCTGCCGCGTGCTTCTCCTTCTCTCCTGCGACGGCAACGCTAGGGCCTTCCGCCTTCGACGTCGCCGCCGCGCCGCCTTCGATTCCGGAGTCACCGCCCGCTTCTCTCGCGGGCAAGGAGGAGGAGGGGGAGGAGGAGGCCTTACCGCCGCCGCTGCGGCTCCCAGGGGGGCCCGCGATTCGCGCCTCAATGACCATGTATGTCGGCTGCCAGCCGGCGCACCGCGCGAGGAGGGTCTTGAGAGAAGCTCCGTGCCGCGCGTTCGAGTAGAGGCTGACCCAGTCGCTCGAGGCGACTGTGGCGGGGAGGTGATTTGCGAGCGCTCGGGCTTCCGCGGCAGACAGAATCTGAGCGAGATGATGATGACGTCGGACAAGTACGTGCATGAATCATGTGTTTCCATATGCATTGGAAAAAAAAACGGGCGGAGGCGTGTTGGTGGGTTTGTGCGATGGGAGGGTATGCCTGGCTTGTGTTTGAAAACACACTGCTTGTTGTGTTCAGGGGAAGCGCAAGCTCGCCGATTTGACCGAAGGACAAAGCGAAACTAACGAGCCGCAACGAACGGTGGCACAGAGACAGCCTGGCGTTTAGACCGCGGAGGCCGACGTTCACGCCGCCTCGGCAACATGCCCGAGCGGGAAAATGCTCTGCCTGGCAAAAAAAAAGAAGCAACAACAAAAAGGCAACTCGACACGCAGCACAAAAAAAAAGACGGCTTCCCCTCGAAGGATAAATGACGGTCACGAAACCACAAACACAAACACACACACGCGCGCATACCTGTGACGGACAAAGCAGGCGAGCTTGGAACACCCCGTCGTCCACCACCCTCGTGCCGCCCGGCCGGCCGCTGTTCTCTGCCGCCACGCTCTCGATCATCCCCGCCCGCGCCGTCTCTCCCGCCAGTAACCAATCGCTGCTGCTGCTGCTACTGCCGGTGGCGGGAACCGCGGCACCGTCCATCCCCGACGATGACGAAACCGACCGGCCTCTCGACCAGCCCACCCTGTCGTCCACGGAGGTTTCGCCAAAAGAGGCGTTTTTTTTGCCCGGGGAGGGGGCTCCGGTCGGCCCCACAGCCGTCCTGCATTTTTTGACAAACAGAGTGAGGCCGAAAAGCAGAAGCCAAGCACGGCAAGCCTTTAGGCTTCGCGGAAAAGTCTTCGTCTCCTCAACAAGGGTAGCGGGGGAACGGGGACGAATCCGTAGGGGGACGACACAAAGGTAGGGGGGGGGGGGTATGCATATACACACATAAATATGCGGTGCCCAAAAAAAGGCACCTGGGGTTACAGTTCTCCCTCCTCAGCCTGCAGCGAAACAAGTCAGCCGTATCGGGGAGATGCGAGTCCCGGGCCCGACAGATTTTTACATACCGTTACACTAGAACAGGGACACTTCGTACACCGTGAGGGAATACAGATATCGCACAAAAAAAAAAACTTCCACCATCATCAAAAAGCCGAAACGGCCGCTGAAAAACCGATCGAGCTCCAAATTATCGCCTGCGAGCCCACAGGCAGAGCTTTGACACACCACATTACGCGACGTTCGTATAGCGCTCCCGTACCGCCCGGTCCACACGCACACGCAATGCACTGGTGGCAAAGGCAAATCACATGCCTACACGTCTCTCGGAAACGTACCCAACCTTTCAATGTACAAATAGTCTACACGAATCTTCCAGCCTAGTGTTCACCGAATCGACTACATACGTTTCGATACGTTTCGATACGTTTCGCGCAATGCGCTCCACTCCTAGCAGCCTCACATGTCTCCCAAAAGCGGCAGGTCTTCAGCCCGGAGATCCAACTCGGCCAGCCCCAACACCCGCACCAATTGCTGCGACAGAGCGACCGGTTCACGATTCTCGTGATCCCCGTCCTCGCCCCCTGTCACATCAGGGGACGAGGGAATCATGTCCCCTGGGTCGGGCGACACGCCTCCTTCTACGGAGGCGGCGGCCCAGAACCCCTCGACGCTGCTGGGAGCGTGCAGTATGCAGGCGTGCAGCACCCGTCTCATTTCGAGAAGGCTTTCTTCGTACTGGGCATGGGGAGGGAGGGGGGGGGGGGGGGGGGGCCCCCAGAATTGGGAGGATGAACCGCACAAGCCTGGGCCAAAAAACACTCTTTGGAGAGGCATTGGCCCCCTAATTTCACCCCAACCCTGTACTTTGTACTGAACCCCCCAAAAAAAAAACCCTGGTGACCATGGCTTATATACCCAAAAAACCCGAGGCAAGAAAAAAAAAGGGGCCAATGCG